GGTAACTTCCTGCAAGTGGAGTTTCACTTTTAGAGACAGAGGCCCAATTTCAAGCTGTCAAGTTACAAAGTCAAATTTCTTTCAAGTTCTATTTGATATATATAGCAATTTTATAACAACTGAAAGAATCACATTTACTTGACTGTGCTATAAAATAGCCCCATGTGCTTAGAAAACATGCTACTGCCCCTTGAAGTAATAAAGGGGCAATAGAAACTTAACTTTAATGTTAAGTTTTCTGCAACTCTCATCATGATGTGATCATGAGACGCTTGATGTAGGTTATAATTTTAGTTTAAAAAAAAGCAAGGTCAGATGGAGAACCACCGATAAAATAAATGTGCGTCCTTCCCCTAAGAAAACAACAGAGAGTCAGACATGAAGTACACCAGTACGGAGCTGTAAAATAGCCCCATGACCAGCAACCCCCCCTGATTTATCTGACAACAGAAGCAATCTAACGCTTCTGCTCTGATTTGTCATGTTCGCTGTGACCTGTCTGCAAACATCAATTTGAAGTTGGTGTCAGACTGCTGGTTGCATCCACCATAGGATGGAGGGGGAGCATGTACGTCTGTGTACCTGCAAGCACATTAATTTTCGACGTCGGCTGCAGATAAACATCAAGGCCACTTGACAGACTGCGAGCAGCTCTGGTTCCCCCCACATACACCAACCCACACAGAGGAACGACAAACTGGAGCAACATTATAGACATGAATCATCGCTCAGGCATATTGTTGTACATAAAAACAACCGTCACAACCTCTTATCTACCGATGAGTCGCTTCTGTTTTCATATGTAAGAACGGGGAAAAAATTAATTAAAAGGGATTTAGTCTGAAGGCATTTGCTGGGCTCTCACACAGGAAGGCGATCGTTGGATTTATGAGGCAGCAAACGCAGCATTCAGAGGTCAGAGGGGTCAGGTGTTGAACCTTCACACATGATCATAAAACTGCAGATCATTGTCACCGTGTGTTTGACTTAGAGCTTTTATTTGTTATCTCTTTTTTTGGTTTTAGTCACATTGCTGTGAAAAAGTGTGTTCTTCACTATTTCAGATCAAACAGATTTTGATATTAGATACTATGAATAAATGCAATGTTCAACTGATATTTTGATTTAATCTAAACAATGGTTTATGATTCTATAGCTTTCCTGAAGAGGGTAGAGTACCCAGATATTGTACTCAAGTAAAAGTAAAAAGTAACCAAGGAATTACTCAAGTAACAGTAAAAAAAAATAGGAATATAAAATAGGAATAAAAAAGTCTTCTCAAGCAGTAAGTGACTAATAAAATTATCAATCAACTAATATTTTAAAATGACAGAATAAGACAGATCAAAATACAAAGTTAGGTGAAAATGTGGTTATTTTAAAGACCAAAATGACAATAATTGATAAAAAATAATTGGTTTCCAGATTAGTTTCTTTCAATAAAAAAAAAAAACTTATGAAACTTGAACAGAAACTGAAGGTCTGTGTCTGGTAAAATTTTGGAAAAAGAACATTTGTGTTTTTCATTCAGTGGGAAGAAAATCCAGAAATTTAACTCAAGTAAGAGTAGCAAAACTTGATAGTAAAATTACTCAAGTAAAAGTAAAACAGAGAGCTAAAATACTCTTTTTGTTTTTGTATTTTTTAAAGTTTGTTATTGAGTAAATAAAACTAGTTATTACTGCACTCTGATAATTGCCTGGATGGATGGATTGTTTTTGCTGCAGTGCCACCACAGGCGAGGAGGGGAACATGTTTTTTCCAAAAGATTAGGATTGTTTCACAGTGTGGTGTGAAAGCAAACCACAGCGTCTGAAAATGTAACAAACGTTGCAATTTTAGTCCCAAAGCGAACTGAATCTACTGGACTGTCAGGTGTGAAAACAGCCTTCGATCCCAATGTGATCGGTGGACATTAATTGTGACAAATCAAAACATGTACTCAACAGCCTAATACCAGGTTGTTTAACTTCTTTTTTTCTGTATAACTATGGTATTTATGTGCCAGATGTAAGTAAGTTTGGAAGACCACCAACTCCTGGAAAGGTTCCCTCACTATTCCATGTTTTCTCCATTTTCTCTCTTTGTGGTTCACTGGAGATGAACCTCATTGGCTTTATTTATCTTGTTTTTGATAAAGCATATTCTCCTTTTTAGATCCTTTAGTTAACTTTGTGTGAACAGAGAAATTCAGAAAATACATTTATGATTTTGCAGGTGTGAAAAAATTTTTACTCCATCCCTTCATCATCTTCCACTTAATCTGGGAATTTCTGCACATCATCTCCAACCCAGAACGGACACTTTACCCTCTGAAAGCTGTCCATCACAGAACCAAACATCAAACTCGGCTTACTGAAAGAAACATGGTTAATCACTCATTTCATGCTTTAACAAAGGAGGCAATTATTTTCTCACATTTATATATAATTTCCGCTTTATTAAATTAAATCAATTGGCAGTGAGGATTTATCAAGGTTTTCATGGGCGCAACCGAGGAAGTCCTTTTTTCTAAAAATGTGGCACCAATTAGGAATAAGTGGGTTTCCAATGGTGTGAGATTTCTTTGTTGAAACAAAGAAACTAATCAAATAATCACAACTGTTTATTTTTGTTCAAATCAGTTAACATTGGTAGAATGAAAGGTGTGGATTATGTCTTTTATATCCTCTCCTGCTACAAAATACACTTAAAATCCACATTTCTCCACGCTGGGTTAAAGGAAACTAATAATCTGTTGGAAAAAATGCAAATCAAAATGAAATTTATGTGCCTGATAGAAGAAGACTGTTTAGCTAGTCTTTCTGAGTTGTATAAACTAAGCGTCGTTTTACCATAAAGAGTGCGTGCAATAAAGGAAGAAAGACACAAGTATGAGAAATGTGTGTCTGTGTGTGAGCATGATATTCCAACATCAGTGTTTCCTTGGTTACTAATCCTATTTACTGAGGACTGGATCCATTATTTAGGTTCTCAGTCTCAAAGCTGAGTAGTTGTTATCACCCTGTGTCAGGGACAGAGACTCAGAGCAGGTAAATATTGAATATTTAGTGTTTTCTCCACACCACTTCTGAGTGATTAATTCACTAAAGGGAAACAATTCGGGAAGCATAAGCTGTCATAAAAACCTAGATTTTTACAGCTAAAGTGAAACAAGCATTGAAGAGTGTCTTGTATCCATTCACCTATTGGTTTAATAATAGCTACGACAAACACAGCTGTAAGGTTGCATCCTTTCCACGGACTGGAATAGTTTTTCTGATCCTGCAGCTCCTCGTCTATCATTTGGGCCGTAAAAAAAGAATAAAAAAAACAGCCAGTAAAGTAAAAATAATCGCAGAGGGCTATAACAAAAGCAGAGGATGGTGTTTGCTGCAGAGTTGACACAAACAGAAAGTCTGAATAAAACAGCACCACAAATTACAGCCTCCTCACTTTGCACTCGATAAAAGGACACAATTGAAACAGGAAATCTTTCAAACTGGCGGCCTCTATGTTTGGCTTCTCACAAAGCAGAGATAACCACCATGACATTCACATATTGTTGCTCCTTCTTGTGTTGCCCAGTAATAACATTTCAGCCATGCAAAAAACACTGCGGCATGGTTAAACAGTTGACTGGCCAATGACCTCGTGTGTCACTTTACATTATTTACAGAAACTAAAGTGGATCTTTAACAAGACCCTCTTTCAGCAAGACTGCGTCTAACTTCATTTTGTTTCCGGCAAAACACTCAGCATGTCATGAAGCCTCAGGCTTTTCCATATAGCACAGATAAAAATGAAATATGTAATTGCTAGAGTAGCGGTAGTATAATTTAGCTCATCAATTGACAGATGTGTACAAGAGATTGGAAATAAATGATGCTACTCTTCTTTAGCAGAGTCTGGAGAAGTCTGAATGAAATTTAAAGTTTTTTCCCAAGTTTGGATGTAAATGGATTTAAAAAAATAATAACTTATAGTTTATATTTCCATTCTACTTTTTTCCTCTGTCAATCTCATTTTCATTTAATTTTTCTGAAGGAGATGTTGGTGGATTTCTCACTAAAATCCTGCTCATTACCAGATTTTGTACAGTACAATGTGTTCGACTTACTTAATGAGATATAAACCATCAGAAGTACAAACTACCAGTGCAAAGTGTATCTGGAGCCTGTGGAAGCCATTTTGAGCACAAAATCCCACCTGATTCAAGATTCAACTAACAAAATAAATTGAGATTGTGGCCAAATGGCTAATTTCCAATTGGAGGTTTTATTATGTTTAATAATAAGAAGAAAAAGCAGCTTCAGATTACTGCACAGTTAACTCTTCAAAAAAGAAAATGAAACAATTAAACAGTCATTTGCAAAAAATAAGTTACATCAGTAGTAGTACTCTGTAAGAGTTACTTAGGAATAACAATATTTTTTTCTTTTTTCACCTGGACTGGATACTTCTGATTTGGGTTTTCGTCTGTCTGCCATATTGGATTTAACCAATAACCAATTTTCTTGTATGTTAAATGGATGGCCAGTAGTTGATAGTGTATTGTATGATGCACTAGTGTCCACTTCAGTGGTCGGTGTGCATTTATTGCATAAAAATCTATAAGAAACTCAAGAAAATGGCTTTCGGAAAATCATTTTCAGAAATAGAAATGCAGTGATACCTATGCATGAAAATTGGATTTTTAATTTAATTTCGTTTGGGTACATAAATAGTTGTGTTACTCAGCTTCTAACCCACCATTCAATGTAATCTAAACATCAGTGCATTTTGATTAAATTACTAATTTAGTCAAAAAAGTTTGTGCCCCTTTCTGACCCCCCCTAAGCAAACAAATCTAGATACCCTCTGCTAAAAGCATTTGGTCCATTTTACATGTTATTTTAAGATTGTGCTGTTCAATATCAAACATGCTTGGTGTATTTTTCTCAGGTGCAGAATAAGCTGGAGCTGGCCTGTCAAGCCACTAAAGTTCTTCCCTTCCATTCCTTCCTTCCTCTGTGTCCCAGGAGGGCAACTGGAGGAGAATGACTGGTAAAACCCAGACCAGCAACGTGACCAATAAGAATGATCCTCGTTCCCTCAACTCCAGAGTCTTCATCGGGAACCTCAACACAGCCATCGTTAAGAAGACCGACATAGAGGTCATCTTCGCCAAGTACGGCAAGATAGTGGGTTGCTCTGTGCATAAAGGTTACGCGTTTGTACAGTACATAAACGAAAGGAACGCCCGAGCCGCCGTGGCAGGAGAAAACGCCCGGATCATTGCTGGACAGCCTCTAGGTGAGTCGTTTCTTACATTTCAGTTTTCATTCGAAACTAATGAGCGAGTGGAAAACTGCAGCCATTGCTGCACTTTCCCCTTGAAACAGAAAACATTTCAGCCAAGCCGGGAACAGGACTGCCTCCCCTGGGAACACCGAATGCCTCAGGCTTTCCTCAGACTTTCAGTTCAGAACCTCTATTGTCTCTGAAGTGCTGAACCCACTGAACTGTCTGTTTGTTGTCAATCTGTTTTGGAGAAAATCCCCTCTGAAAGTGTAAATCATCCACTTGGGGGACTTGATTTTGCCATTTACCAAACAGCAACTCACGTCAAAGCTCTCGTACCAAACAATTTAGAGCAGAACATGATATGTTAAGTGGCCTGGGATATCGCCGCAGTGTGATGTTTGAGAGTTTCCTTTTCTCCTGCACACAGACTTTGCAGTGGATTGTTTCAGAGGATTTTGAGGCTGTAATTTATCCTCTCTTTTATCACATCCAAAGAAATTAGAAAAATGTGGAAAGCAATAAAAAAATCCTGGTTGTTCAGATTTCCCTCTCCAAATTTAAAGCTGGAGTACGTAATTTTTATGAGACAGATAAAATGTAAAAAAATCAAGCTCCTCTGCCTTCCCCAGTAGCAACTAGAAGCAGCCAATCAGAGCCAGAAGGAGGGTCTTAGCGTTATCAATCATCCTCTTGTATGATACAGCTTCTTCCTGAGTGTGCCAGGACGAGTTATTATTGCCACAATGACAACAGATAAACAGTTTCCTGCAATGTTGCATTGTTTCTCCACCACTATCACAGTTAGCAGCGTGTAATGAAGTTGACTAGCAGCGCTAAGACCCGCCTCTTGGCTCTGATTGGCTGTTTCTGACCGGGAGCAGTATATTTCTGGAAGATCACAGAAGAGTTTGATCTTTTCACAGATAATCTGTCTCGTATTATGTCATTAGAACATGGTAATAGTTTAACAAATATGTAGAAATATATATTTTGTAAAAGTTACAAATTGTAGCTTTTAAAGAGCTGTTGCTCCTGTTTATTTTTTGAAGACGTTTTGTCTGTTCAGGTTGTATTTTACATTATATTACATTATTTATGGGCGGCTGTAAATGTTGGTAGTCCACTGTTCGGTTATTTTAGTATGACTTATGGCAGCTCAGATTGCTGGTGTTTTTCTTCCAGTTTTTCCACCCACTTAACTTTCCTTGTACTCTGTGAATAGCTATCTTCTTTAGTCGAAACCTGTTGTTACTTCTTGTCATTCGGAAGGGTGTCAATGATTGTCTGTTTGATTGTGTTGGCCAAGACATTTATGATTATTTGCTGGTTTTACGTAATAATATAATTTGCTCAAAAATTTAATTTCGGGTTTTTATTAGACATGATGAATAAACACTTCAGAAATATAATACTGTATTTGTAAGTTTCACTTTTTTCAAATAATTAATGAAATATGTCATTTATTGAGCTCCACCCATATATCCACCTTACAGAAACTTGCACAAATAATGTTTACGGTCATATTCTTTTACAAGAAACTCACTTAAAAAAGCAAAACTACCCCTTTCACTTGCTGATGTTAGAAATGTTGTTGCTAATACAGACACCAGAACTCAACCAGCTGGTAAAAAAGTAATATTTTCCAATAAAAAGACAGGAAATACATGCAGCAGGAAAGCTTCTGATTTTGTTGCAAAAGTCATTATGCATTCCTCGTGCGTTATCTTCTGCTTTTTTATTATTATTTATTATTTGAGAGAGAAAATAGAATTGAAATACTTTTATCCCCAGTGAGTTTGGTTCACACCAACCAGGGTATTGCGCCCTCGCCGTATTAGTCAATCTACAAGTTAGGTGGCGGGGGCAGGGATGGGAGATACATCCTTAATTGACAATTAAAGCCACACTCGGCCTCATCCTCTCAAGCTGATCCTTCTAATAATAACGCAGTGGAGAAATGAATCGGCTATATAATGATTTGGGTCGAGGAAGGACCTCTGCAAAGGATGCAGCTTCCAGCACAAAAACATTTCATTAAAGTGTTATTACTTGCAAGTTGATTGCATGCCGGTTTCAAAGGTAAGCGCGTATATTGTTGTTTCTGAAGGGACAGCGCTCATATTTTTCGATTTCAAGACATTATTGAGCATGTTTACTGAGTTCAGTTACACTGAAGTTAGAAAAAGGTGAAAAGGAAGTGACTGTTTTGACTTCAGAAATTGTTTCCAAGAGGTCAGAAACCTGGATCCACTAAAAAGTGCCTCTTCTCTCAGTGACACATAAGACTGTAGAGTCATCACAGGCTCCCACCACTGGAAATGAGACTGCGTGGAAACTGAATGTGTTTGTCTGCATCAGGATGAAGAACAGGATGAAAAATTCTACAATAACACAGCTGGAAGCGCCGCCTTCCGCTGGCGCTGAATGAAAAACTCAATGGTCCATTACTCCGTCAAATATGAAACGGAGTTAATGACGTCATAGCTTGCATTCAGAAAACAGCTTTCATTACTAAATAATGCTACGTGTAATACTGTTCTGAATTGCATTTTGCTCCTCAGTGGTGAAGATTGTAAGTACTTTGCATGAGGCAACATGTAAGATATTTTTAAATGCATTTTCTCTCTAAAATATACAGTTAAAGAAATCTATAAACGTAACAAAATGACAAACTCAAAAAAGTATGAAAGCCTATGTGATGTAGATAAACATGTTTTTCAGTAATAAGAAAATGGTTTAGTAAGATGATAATGTATTTTGATAGAAAAAGTCTGCTTTTAATTTAGTTTTTTAGATTTACACATAGTCCTAGATTCATCTTTCTACACATTTACAAACTACTAAAGATGTGCAATTAAACTTAAAATAAATTCCTTTTGGACTGGATTAGCAATATACTGGGTAAAAATGGCGCTTTATTCTATCTACTCTTTGCTTCATCTAGAGGCAATTACTTAGTGGAGATTTAAACATTTATCCATTTGCTACTTCTTTTCCAAAGATATCTGTGATGTGCTAGTTGGATGCTTTGAGGTTTACCAGAATTTGCCTCCACTATAAAAACATCCAAACAAGATGGCTGATATTGTTAATTCAATATTTGAAAGCGTGACCAACATGGACTGAATGTCTTTGTTCTCCTCCTCTGCTGCTTTTAGTAAAACTACAAAAAAAAATTCTGAAAATTGACATCATGATTCACAACATTTCCTTTTGTTCTCTGATTGGACCAGAAGAAATTCTTCAGGAGAAATCCAAGTGAATGGGAGAAAGTCCTAAAAGAGCACTGTAAGTCCAAGGTCCCCCAAAATAATACAACCTGCAGAAAGTATTACCATTACAAGAATGTATTGCTCAATGGTAGCTAAATATAAAGAAAAATGGCAATATAAAAACCCCCTGCTTTTTATTGTTTGCTTTTGCAATTCAGTAGATTTTTTGGGCTGCTTCGGTGACAACAAAATATATTTTACTTAAAAAACTGCAGATATGAACAAAATAGAAATCTTATTCAATGTCAAATAATCAGTCAACATGAATTAAAATCGGTTTATCAACATTTTTAGACCTTTTCTGCATTAATAGATGTTAAAACACACTGCTTCATGCGCTCTCAGCAAATATTGCTGGAGCTTCTGGTCTTATTTATGGTATTTATGACTTCAGTCTTGTTTTTCCCATTTCTGAAGGTGGTTATTTCAGCCGTGTCTTGTTGTGGCTTTTTGTGTATCTGCCCTGAGCCGGCCGATGAGTGATTGGCAGGAGGTGATTGAAGTCCTGATGGAAAAGGACAATGAAAGAATAGCATCCTACATTTTTCTGAGAGAGGCCTTGTGTAAAGGTGAAAGGAACTGTGCAAACTGGAAAGATTCAGACTAACAACATCTCCAGAGAGCCTGTCTTTTATAGTAGCAACGCATGATAAGCTGTCTGATGTGGACTTATTTTGAGTAGTTTGACCCTCCCTAAAGAGATCTGCACTCCCTTCACCTGGAAGTTTCATGGTGAAGGTCCATCCTATTACAATATTAATGACCACAGTGAAGGATAATGTGTGATGGATCACCAATCATCCTGCCTCCAAATGGCATTGGCAAGAGTTGGGCACATAAATAATAAAGTGATTTAGATGCAAAATCCATCCTAAGCGGATTACAAACGCAGTGGCACTGCAATCAATCGTCATTTTGGGCCAACAGGATGCATAGCAAACAGGATTCTGAGAGTAAACTATACGAGTAAGCAGCAGAGGAATGAGCAGAGAGGAAGAGGCAAAAAATTCAAGGAGTATGCAACTGAATGGCGTATATAGTCACACTTACCAACTCATTATTTTTCAAGAACAAGCTTTTAAAGCAAACCCTTGCACAAAGAATTACAAAACCCTGCATAACAAACATAGTGACTTTTCAACATTTTTTTTGAAATATCTTACTTTGTTAATTAATTTGAGTATTAAATAAAAGAGTTGTAAAACGTTAGATCAAGGCGTTTTTTCACAAAGGATTGATTTTGATTGATATATATATATATATATATATATATATATATATATATATATGTGTAATTTGACTTTTGTTTTCTTTAAATATGCTTGTCACTTATTTTCTATTTACATTGTGTAATTTTATACCATAATCAACCAGGTTATGTTACCGTCAGTTGATATAAAAATGCTGTATAAAGAAAAGAAAAACAGCTATATCTGATGCCTTGAAATTGGCCTCATCTCTCTCAGAAACCCCTTTCTGATACTCCCACACCGGTGCTACTCTGTGATAGAAGTTGGACTGAGAATTAGTTTGCATGATAAGCTCAGCAGATGCTCAGTTTCAGGTGTTTAGTAATTGCTGCTGCTAGTCTGGAGGAGTTGAGTGGGGGATGTGGGAGCTCCAAGAAATAGCTTTGTGTAAATAGGTGACACTTTCTGTTGCCCCTTTGCAACTACATCACTTAATTATTGGAGGCTCCATGATGGAAGTCAGCAGTGAGGGACGGGAGTATTGAACAGAGCAACTGAAATTGTTTTCCAAAGTTGTTTTCTACAGTTTATTCGTGGCTTTCACTTGTTCCAGCCGAGCTAATTTGTCTGTGAAGGTAACACACCTGGTTCATAAACGGCGGTGTTTACAAAAGTAGGAAACAGCTGGCTTAGAAACTGACCTGTACCTCCTCCTGACGTGTTGATTAAATTAACGACCTGACCTGAATTCACAACACTTGATTCATATGATTATAACATAAACACTGTTTCTCGTTAAACCGGAGCAGCCTTAAAAACCAACAAAAGACGAGATGCTAACCAGTTTTTTCCGTACATGCTAGGCCTACGTGTTGGCGTGGCATCGTCTCCATGATTACCAGTGGTTAGACGCACCTTCTCCATATTGCGATATTTGATATTTTTCTAATCACACTTACTTAAAAAGTATATGAATGTTAGTCTTCTTGTAAAAAATGTTAACGGTTACACCGAGAGCTGCCAGTCATCATGATTAATGGCTGCTTTCCATCACCGCAGTATCTTTCCTCATTAAAAGTTACAAAATAAAATGTCGAGTTGGGTTTGCATCCTTGCAGACATTGAGGTTTAAAGAAAACTTGGTCCACAACATAGCAAGAGACTCACATAATAGAAGTTATTGCAGCAACATGTGACTTCATGCAGTTTTTGTTTTTCAGTTTGTCGTCTTTGTTTAATGCTCTGTGAAACCAACAGTATGAAAATCAGCCTGGCTGTTGCTTTGTTTTCAGACCTTCAGCCATAGGACTGAGAACAAAGCTGGTTTTGTGCTGAACTCCACCGTTAACATTCAACAGGCCTGCATGTGTCTGATTTGCCTTGTGAAAAAGATATTGATTTGGCCCCATCTCCTTCAGTATGACACCAAATTCACTTGTAAAATGCCTGCAAGATGAAAAGACAGTTTAAAAGAAACGGCTACTTACCTAGACAAATATTAGGCAGTTGAGGCAGCAAAGAAAAATGCAGTACCTCTGTATAAAACTCGTGTGACTCAGTGAATAAATATCACAGGCTTAACATTGCGTGAGCGCCACAGCCCGGGGGGATTTCTTCTTTAATGTCGATCCAGCCCAATCCTCCTTCGTCTTCTCCACCTGGCTGTTGTAAGTCTTTCCATTTTCACCAACAGCATTCACAGGCTCGCTCCCCGCTTTGATATTTGTGCGGATAATTCAAAGGGTGTCTACAATGGCTGCACACTTCACTAACTTAACTTTGAGTGCCAGTTTTTTGAAGCATGAACAGCCGTGAGTGAGAGTCCCTGTGGGCGTTGCAGCGAGATGGGCCAATTCCTCCTGATCTGCTGGACTGAGCCGTGCCAAAGCTAACCCCACGAGGAAGTCTCGGTATCTTTCATGTCCCTTCCTTTGCCTCCAAGGCCGTAAGAATATTTAATGCATCTGAGCATGTGTGTGCAGGAAGCCATGCGAGAATTCAGCTTTGTGCCTCATTCGATTAAAGAAAAGAACTATTCCCCACAAATTGCTATATCAATATGTAATCTATTTCTTCTCCTTCCGCTCTTAGTCCCTCTTGCTATCTTTCTGTGTCCTTGTGGGTGATTAGAATGCACCCCGGTTGTCTGTCTGCTTCCTCATTAATCACGCTCTGAAGGAGAGGCCCGGACGTTGAATGCACAGTTAGCCTGACCCGGTCCTTAACAAAAGCCTCCAGATATAACACCAGGTATTGAGTTGCACACAGGCTCATGGTCATGCCAAACCAAAGCTTCTTTTTCTGCTACAACGATCAAGCTTGCTATTACGGTTTGCTATTTACCTCGCCTGCAAGATGCTTTTTTTTTGTTTGTTTTTTTTTTCATGCGGGCAAAATGCTTAGCTGGGGCCAGAGCCACTTTGTGGACTGGAAGTGAGATGGATTACCGTGTGGATTTTGGCATCAGACACTGCTGCTAATTTTCTGATTAGAAACCTAGGTTTCAACAGTCGAGAAACACTGAGCTGTGAATCAAAGTCGACTCTATGGGCTCTGGTGGTCTGGTGTTTGTTTCAGCTGCATTTTCTGTGTGCAGATTCAACTAAAACATGTAAGGGAGATAAATTCATAATATTTCAAGTATAACTTAACTAACAACTATGTATGAATCTGTTTTATCAGAATTAAGAGTGTATTCACATTTGGAAATCCTTCAATCTGCTCAACCAAAAGAAGACTTTTTTGTTTGGTTTCTTTCACGTTTTGCCTTTTTGCAAGCAGACATGTCTTGCTAACAAAGCTAAGCGGTTGATGATTATCGCTCCCATTGCTTGCCTAATTTTTGTTGTGCACATTTGTGCTTTTATTCAAATTCAAAACAACAACACTTTATTGATCCTGAAGGGGAATTAAATGTTGCTATAACAAAGTTTTTAAAAACGTACAACTGCAATAACTGAATGTGAAGAGCAGCTCGATCAAGGAAAGTTTCGTCATGTTTTAACTTTGGAATGGCTTCAGCAACAAAAGAAGTAAGAAGAGATGAGATCTCTGTGTCCTGACCAACAAGCTAAACTAAATGAAACAGAATCAGGTACAATTTGAGATTAATCCCTACATGCTCGTTGAAGCACAAGTGAGGGTGATAAAGTGGTTGTATGAAGTTCACAGCTCGGTCCTTTCATGATGCATCACTTTTCATTCGTGTCCTAATATCTTCCAGCTGACCAGCTCGCCACCTCAGATTCCAGGGAAATTCATCTTTCCTTTAACCGACTGAGGTGTTTTTCTAGTTGATAGCAGTTGCTAAATAGGCCTGTGGGGGCCCACTCTGAGCTGGGTGGTGTAGATGGCCTGAAACAGGATTAACATTGATACTAACAAGCATCCTGCAAGCGTTCATTAATATTACATCTATCTGTAGAAGCAAAGGAGAGGAAGACGACGAGCTGGGAGAGGCGTTGAGCAGCAGAGGGATCTCAGAGCTGTATAATTCTCATCTCTGCATAATCAAAGATGCTGGTGTGCTGTTGAGAGTTCAGGTTCACAACCGGGGCTTACAGATGCAGCCGGATGCAGGAGTCACAGGCTGATTGAGCCAGACTTCTATGCAATCAGAGCAATATCGAACAGCAGACATGAATTTGGGGAAAGACTGGATAACGTAATTGAAATGAGCACATTAACATAAGAGTCATGCATTCGCAGGGACTTTATCTACGAGTCTCAGCGTTGGAAGTAATGAGTTTTTTACGTTGGATTAGTGTCTTTCACTCGGGCATGCTGGGAGATAATACTTCAGTAAGTCGGTTGTGTGTTTGTGGCAGGTGATATGATGAAGACCTCTGTGGTGCAACCTTTACTCAAAGCCTCGACTAAATGAGCAGCCTCATAGCGGACCCGAGACATGGAAAATCTGCCCTTTAACACTTCATACAAGTCGAAGGGGGTTCGTCGTGTCTTTCTCTTAATTCAGACATTGACGCACAGGATGTGAAGGAGGAACCCGAGCGTTAGAAACAAGGAGCGTACAGCGCGTAAGTGATGATTTGTGACTTGTGATTACACATGCAGGGGTAATTACTGGGGCCCTGGAGCATTCCCGGGGACGCTGGGGCCCAAAGCCCAGACCCTCTGACTCTTCGCCTTTATCTTAAAGAGCATGACTTAAGAATCAGTGAGAATCAAATCAGGGCTAACAGAATAAAATTAAAAACGGCCGATAACCTCGCCCAGAGCAGTATCATGCTCCTTCATGTGTTTACTTCCCAAACTTCCTTTTTTGACTTTTCACTGACTCTCCCTCCACGTCTTTGCTCTCTCGCTCTCTCAGTTGTTGACTTCCATCCTTTTCTTATTCCCTCATACTAATTACACTGCAGAGATGAGGACTGGTGACTTAGGGCATCCACTTCCTGCTGCAGGAAATCCAGATTAAGGGTATTTCAGTGTTTTTTATATATGTCACACCAAGTTTGATATCCGAAGTTTTTCTGCACCAGGAAAACTGTTTCTATTACTTTTGAACAGAATCCAGTAAAATCTCTCCCCATTTTGTTCTGTTACGACCAAAAACCTTAATTTACTTAAAATTTTATTGGGATTTCATATGATAGACCAACAGAAAGTAGAGCTTAATTCACACCAGCCATGTTTAGCCTGCATTAGTCAAACTCCAGTTTGTCTGGTTAGCTGTGAATCTAACTCTGATATGAACCTAAAAGCTCCTAAAAAATCTTGGTGTCGAGTCAAATAAAGCGAACTCTTGTAGAGTTTGAATGCAGGAAGCAAACTGTAGCACACTGCATTCTGGGTAAATGCAGCAAAGCAAACCCAAGAGTGTGACACTTGCCGTCGAAATGGGTTGTGATTTTTTTTACCAAAGTGAAAAAAGAAATCCTACGTCCACTGAAATATGAGCCCATTGCATTTTGTCAAGGAAGAAGTTACGCTTCATAAACAACTTCTTCGTGTTGTTTCCTTCAGTAGTTTTGGGTACAGCGCCACCAAAGGCCAGGGAGGGAACAGGTTTTTCAAAAGGTTGGATTCATTTGACATAGTGCGATGTGTAAGTGAAATAAAAATGACGTAGCTTTATGTTATTCATGAATTACTCATGTTCATGACATGTCATGTTTATGACGGTGTCATGACAGTCTTGTTCATAACCCGTCAAATCAAATACATCATGCTTCTGGGTTCAACATAACAATCCCAAGAAGTTTAATAGTCCTGGTGCATGAGAGTCACCCAAAGGTAAGAGAAGATCTTTACAAATCTATCTGACCTACTGAGACGAGCTGTAAGTAATGGAGATAATTTTCCTTCCTTATTTCCTGATAAATAACAACCAGAACTTCATTAGTTAAATACGGTTTTGCAGCCTCCTCCTATTTCTATTAAAATCTTATCTGGAAGCTTAAAAGTATTACGCTCAACTCAGCCTCTTGTGGTTTATCAACCTCCTCTCTGCGACTGTACAGATTTAATTAGGGACATCACTCAGAAGGGGGGGATAATGACTTCCACCTGTGCTGACCTCTTTGTAAAAAAGTGTCCAGAATATTTTGCATAATCTCTGCAGATTTGATTAAGACACTGAACTGTCTGCTGACTCGCTGCGACTTGCCTCAGATAAGAGTTGAGTCCATGGAATCAAAGACGTCCTTATTAGTAATAAGCGCTGGGAGACGGGGAGAGTAGCGCACAGATGTTGGCTGTTGTGTCTCAGAGGGGAAACGGACAAGCGGCAGCTTTACGGATGCAGATAGCAGCTGGTTAGAGGAGCGGTCCTGACCTTGGCCAATCCTTGTGGCTCGTTCACACTTTTTTACTACTCTGCGACAAAGAAGGTGGGAAACAGGTTTCAAAACTAATTATGATGTGGGTATTTTGTGCATCATAAATCTTTAAATTGATGGGCAATCCAAAACAAAGTGATTTAAAGTGGATTATTGCGAAACCTGAGCACCGCATGGGTTCCATGCCCTAAAGTGTGTCACCGTTTGCTCAGTAGCCCACCTGTGTGACAGAACTATTAATGAGCTCTGTCTGGATTTATGGGCCTCATCTAACTGAGGAGGATGGGCTGCCTTTGTGCTGCCTGTCCTGTCAAGTGAAATTTGAGGCCCGGCCGAGACGAGCGCCTGTTATCATAAAAAAAGGCAAATTCATCAGGTATTAAATTGTGTTGAAATGATGGGTCAAGACAGCCGCAGTTGGATGTGAGCTACATGAGTCTCATTGAGGCAGGAGCGTTTGGTTTTCGGAAGGCTAGCCTTGACTGTGTGGTCACATACTGCCGCCCCGTGGTGATAGTTATTACAGACCTGTGCAGATTGTTTTATTCATTGAAAATCTTATATTTGGTTTTTTCTGTTATTCTGAGTTTTAATACAGTTTGCAGAAGCCTGGAATTTGATTTTAGTATTTTCTGGTTTTCACTCATACCTTCCTTGTCTCCTTTTTTTTTCTTTACATTTTTCCTACTTTTTGTGGATTTTCTTCCTTTCTTACATATGTCCCACTTTTCTTTTTCCTGTTCTGTTTTCTACTTCCTTTGTCTTTCTTTGCATTTGTTTTTCCTTCCTATCTTCCTACATTTCTCAAGTCCTTTTTTTCTTCATCTTTTTCTCCTTTTCTTTTTTGCTTAGTCATTGTCTAACCTTTATCTTTATTTATTTTTCTTTCTACATTATTTTGGTACTTTATAGTCATGCAAATGCACTATTTTCTGAAATATTTATACAATATATTACATATAATAATGATTACAGTATTACCTCAAAACTTTGAGTTTTTACATTCAAAAAGTGATGTAACTGCTTCAGTAACGTTGAATTAACTAATATTAGCATATTTCATAAAAATATATTTCTGTTTTGCTGCTTTATTCTCCTACATCAAAAAATAAATAAAGTGCTGTTTTGGAAAAACAAACAATAATAACCCTAGAGAATCAGGGATTTTGTTATTTAAAAGGACAAACTTTTAATAGTATTTTGCTTAAGATTACTGAAAGTTTCTGTAAGAAAATCAAACACATAAAAATAAAATTAAAATCTTCTATTTAGGTTTTCTCATTTTAATACTTTAATAATGAACAAACATGGATGAATAACTCCAACACAGATGATGCTACTACTATTACTACCTTCCTGCTAGTATATTATTACTCTTTTATGTTAACTTTATGTATAAACCAGTGCTGCTGATAATACTACTGTACAGCTGGGAAAATAAATTTCTACTTCGAACTTGTGCTTTTATCCAACATTGTTTTACATCCCATATTCTAACCAAATCCAGATGAAATTGATGAGCTTCTTTCTCTTTGACTCTCACTGCAGATCTCAGGATCATTTGTGAACTTCATTGTCCATGAGGAATCCTGCATCACTTCATCTGTCAACCCGTCCATCACCACTGCAAACAAAATGGGGCCCATGGCTGCTGCAGATGTATTCACACCCATGACTCCATGAATCCATGAATCCATGAAACCATGTGACCCTCCCACTGCACACCTCACTGCTATCTTCCTGCTGACCTTCTCCATGTCTTGCACCGCACCTCCCAGCCATCCATCACTTTATATATAGATATAGGTGCACTTATATATGTATATATATGCATGGGAAAAATCTAAGACCACTTTTCATTTATCAGTTCGCTGGTTTTACTCTTTATACGTGTATATATGTGTTTGCGTAAAATTAAAACTGTTTTTATTCTATGAACTACTGACATGTCTCTAAAATTCCAAGCAAACATTTTGTCTTTATTTGCAGAAAATGACTGAATATAATTTATAGGTGGAGTGATAGATGAAGCATCGGTGGGTTTTTCAGCAGGAAAAGGATTCAGTGAACATGTGTGCCGCTTAATGATTCAGGAAACCAATTGAAAGGTTTTTGAGTGGTCTAGTCAAAGTCTCAATCAAATCTGGCTAATCTGCTGTGGAATATCTATTTTTTTCAAAAATGAAAATTTATGCTAGAAAACTTTTCAGTGTGGCTCAATTAAAGTACTCCAACTCCAAGAAGAGTGAATCAAAACTGTTATGGACTAAAGTGCGACCTGGGGGACCTTTGTCGGTTTTGGAGTAGTTTTTTTTTTGTTGCTGTTGTTGTTGTTGCTCTGCATTGTAGGAATGGTTAAAATGATACTTCAACAAATTACTTTTTGTGTTTTCTTTGTGAGATTTTTAATTAAAAAAAAATTTACATCTTAAATAATAAATTTTAGGTACAAAACATGTTTTTCTTTTATTAGCTGAATCTTTTTGTTTGCTTTGTTTGTTTGTTTTGTTTTGTTTCATTTTAGTGTCAGAAGTCAGGCCAAAAATCTCCAACATTTTTTTACTCACATCCAATAACTAAACGGGCTAAATGCAGTTTAGAGTTTCCAAACGTTGCTCATTTTTGCTGCAGGGAATGAACTAAAATCTTCACCAACATGTACAACTTTGAGATCCTTTTCAGGCATTTTTAATTAAAATATATGTTTTGTTGCTGAGCAAGTAGAAAGAAAAAAATTCACATTAAAATAGTTTTTTATTTTTAACTGGAAAAATTGTGGCTTAACTTGTTAATTTTGCTCCATGGTGCAAATATATGTCTATAGAAATTGACCAAAATACTCTACAGTATGCATATGATTTCTTTGTTTTTCTCACAGAACTCAAATCTTTTGGACTTTGCACTGTTATGTCACAGACAGTCCACCGTTAAGTTGGTGTTTTCCCTGGGTACTTGTGCTTCCTGCTATACTCCCAAAGAATTAACATTATTGTGTTCATTAGTGACTAAAATGTCCTTTAATAAGTTCACATTGTTCACTGTTTTAATGGCTCTTCCAGCTCTGCCAAAGAATTCACAGCCTCGTTAATCTCAGATGCAGGAGTTCAGAGTGAGGAATGAAGTGAGATCCATCAGCCTCGCTCTTTCTTTTCATGGCCATTTGGTTAAAATCATTCAGCAGGCAACACTTCTGTGTTTTCTAGCTCCATTACGTCCTGGAAACATTACTGTATGCGTATTGGATTGATCTAACCCTGGCCACCCTGTGCGGCTTCTATTATCTCTGCTGAGTGGATCAACGACCACGACACCGATAGCGTCAGAGCTGAATTAGATTTGGCAGGCGTTAATGCTTGTGTGAATCCCAATTGCAGCTAGAAAAATTTGCATTTCCTGGGAAGAGACAGTGTGAATGTTGTAAGATTTTTAGTGAAAATTACATAAGCATTTGAAGTCGACTGCAAAAAACATGCAGAAATGTAAGAAATATGGAGAAGCAACAGAATAAAGCAAAAGCTTGTGAAACACAAACTCTGGAGATAAACTGGGGAGTGAAAATTTTCAGTTAATGCAAAAATCTCAGCCAAAGAATATTAGAAAGTTGTGCAGAACACAGTTTACAAATCTGTAAAGTCACAAAAGTTTATGAGCTAACGTGTGCTAATAAGCTAACACTAGTTGTAGGTCAAGACTTGCATCTTTAATACTGCAGTAACATACTCTATGCAGTATTAAAACATACATGTTAAAGCTAAAATTGAAGCTAAAGCAAGATAAAATAATGATGGTAGCAGCTAGGCTAGCACTAGCATAGTGACCTATAGTAATACATTCCACACAGAAATGTAATAAGCAGAAACATTGAAGCTAAACTTTCTGATATTCTGAAGAATATAAACAATAAGAAAAATTATTTAGGTCATCTAGTGCAGACCATGTCATAACCTGAAATTAGCTAAAGAATATAGATTATACTAATGGTTGTGGGTCAATACTGTGGTTTATGACATTAAATTGTTAAAATAGCAATGTATAAAATGTTAATTGAAAGCTAATATTAGATTAAATGCTGTTAATAGCATCTTGTCTAACATTGACTAAATTTAGTAGGTTTTCATGAAATGAAGTCAATATGATGTTAGCTAAAATTTTAGCCCACATGACATCACTCTGAAGAGAGTTGGAAGGCCGGTTGGAATTGGTTCTATACCCAGAAACAATGGCCTATGTCTTATGAAACTGTTTTAAAGTTAAAGAAAGTAAACTGTGCATAGTTGTTTGCGAAGTTCTGTGATTTTATTCCAGGGTCAGAAAATCCATGTTTGATCCAGAAATCAGAGAAAAATATTTATTACAGTCAGAAAGACTTAATGGAAAAGCACAGTTGGTCAGATTTTATACATCACTGGATGTTTATGCATTTTTTAAATTATTGTTATTGTTATTATTTTTATTATTATTTTAAAACATAGAAATATGTAACATGCTATGTACTAAACCATAACAAAAATTAAAAACAAAAGACAAGATAGTTTTTTACACAATTATGTTATCAAGATCTGCAGGAACTTTTTTAAGATACTTTCCCTGTCATGCTTTATTTTGACCACTAAGGTGTGCTATTGTACAGGTTTTGGTTGCAGTTAGCATCTGAGCCGGAGTAATCCTCCCATTAAAACCTTGGGGCGATATTTCTTGTAGCTTCAGCTCAGACAGGAATCCTATTAGTAGCTCTTGTGTTGCATAAGCCTTTCTTTGTCCTTGTCGCTCTGCAGATTTTTGCTGCATCAACTCCAGCATAAAATATCTCGTGCAACTGAACCAGAGGCCCATCCAAGTCCATCAAAATGGAGCCAAATTTCACTGTTCACAGGGAGCACCAGGACATTTATGACACAGATGGGCTTGAAGCTTGGCTGATGAGTCGCCTGGCCTCTGTAAGCGTGATCTGAACAAACACTGACAGTTTGCTATCGGCTTCAGCAGTTGATATGTTTGTAATTACTTAGAGCCAAAAGCAGCGGCTGTCAAATGAGCTAAAAAGATCTGCAAGTCGCAGGCCGACGTGATCCGATGGCTTGAGCAACTTGTATCTATCATGGAGGAAATCTTCCCCCTGGGCGTCGTCTGTTTCCCTTTGTCTCCTGCATAAATGAGGCTCTTTTTTTCCCTAAAAAGGCACTTTAATGCTGGTTGTGCTGTTTGAGAATGCAAAGCAATTGAGATTCAGAGCAGCCTGAAGTTTGTGTGTATTTTGTGTAGATCTTTGTGCTGGAATCGGGTAATGATGTGCTGCAGGAGTTCAGAGATGGCTTATTGTTTCAGAAATTATATTACAGCCTCATGTGTGCTTATCTACATCAGTCATAACTCAATATAATTCTCAGCTGTTATGAAATTAGCTTTATGGGAAGTAGTTAATGCAGTTATGTGGGAAAATTCTAGCTCTTCATATTAAGCACATTCCACACCTGGTATAAATGTATTTAGAAAAAATAAACCTTATAAAAAATCTGCTTCATGCAGTAGCGTTATCCCTCATCAAAAACAAGCTGAAGATTTAGTTTTTACTTATTTATATGGAGTTTTAAAGCTGATTATAGAAGCTGTTGGAGTCTTCTTTGTGTAATCAATGTCCCGAGTTACTCTTAGTTATTCTTCAAAATGGAAAAGACAAGAGAACATGCTTTTCAGAATGTGTCTGTTTTCATGATTCAGAACAAATGTTCAAATTTCACTAATGATTTTTCCTGATGGATTCTTGAAGAGAAATCGGCCCACAGCATCACATTTATTTCAACATACTCATTTTTTGCTTCAAAAGGTTTATGCTTATGAAGCATAAGATTGGAATCAATAAATTAAAGATAAGATTTCCGTTTAGAAAACACTTAGGTTACAGTTATTTTACAAATTGTTTGTTGTTTTGACCATTTCTCATTTTCTGCAAATAAATACTAGATTTTTGCCTGGAATTTCGGAAGCATGTTGTCAATAGTTCACAGAATAAAAGAACAATGTTCATTTTGCTTAAACATATTGTTCTAAAAAGTAAAATCAGAGAAGCTGATGGTTTTAAATCATCTCAATTTTTTCCAGAGCTGCATAAATAAACCCTTTATTGATCCCCATGAAAATTATGCAAATTGACAGGATGCATTAATTTATAATGGACAGCAGATGTCTCCACTTTACTCTTAAAAGCATTTTTATTCTACTATTGATTGATTCTGAATGTAGCATGTTCAAAAGATGCCAGTTATTGTTAAAAATAATGTTTTTAGCTGAGATTCACAGCATAAAGGAGACAATGTTTACCAAAAATCCCTTTGACCTGGAGCCCAATGCATGGAGCTGTAATCATACTCTCTCCATTCTGTGGGATTTCATTCTTTCTCTTCTTTAAAGCCAGAAAAGTTAGAAGGAGACTTTCTCATTCGGGGGTGATGTGAGAGCCAAAGCAGTTTTAGATTTATTGATCGAATCCCAGCTACGACCAAAGGCTTGGCTCTAACTCCACCACACATCTAATCTTGAATACCAACAAAAACAATTGTTGGTATTCAGTCCACAATGCAATAATGTGATATAGTGGAATAAATTAACCAAATTCAGTCTGCTTTTGTACATTCATCTCCTTGGCAACAGTCTACCTCTGCAAGCAAAATGAGATGTGCTTTTTTAGTGATGTGCTGGAGGTTATTATTGAATCACTTTTATCCCAGTGACATTGTTTGCACATTGGTGTGATAGTAAGACTGGTGTTCCAGCTGGCAGTGGTTAAAACCTCGCATTGAGTCATATTTTAAGGTTTGTGGTTTAATCGAAGCAGCATCGTTGTAAAATTCTGCTCCATGTTCAAACGTCGGCAGCATCCTGAGCAATATAAATGGTATTACGAGCTACTCTGAAAGATAATAGGCTTGTATTATAGATACTAACATTATCATTAGTTGTTGTGAAGATAAACTGTTTTATGTCCAATTCTGGTGTTTTTATAGTATACAGGTACTAATTAACTGGCTGTCTAATTTATTAAATTAATTGTCATCAACTTTTGACAAAGCTGATTTCAACACATTGATGGATGGACAGGAAAGGTTTGTGGAGTTGTTGGATACTGTAAAAAAAAAATATTGGTTCATATCCTATTTAATAATAAATCAGAGAACAAAACTCATGTGGGGTTCCCCACAGCTCCATTCTCAGGTCACTTTGTTTTACACATACAGTTGAAACCAGAGGTTTACATACCCCAAAAAAATATGCACACCTTTTTTTCTCACTTTCTGAAGTTAAATCAGACTAAAACATCTCATTTTAGGTTAGGCAGAATAACCAAAATTATTTCTTTTAGCTAAATGCCACAATATGTGGAGAACACATGTTAGAAATT